GCAAGTAATGGGGAAATATGAAAAACACATGATGTTGATTGCTTTGAGCCCTTGTATTAAAAGGTATACCCATCTCTTTGCAGTCTGCTCTTAATACACGCTTCCCTTGTTTCTTCAGAATGTTTCTTCGATTTTTTGTGTGCTTTCTTTTATACCTATTTATATACCGAAAGTTTACCTTTCTCTATAGAAATATAATTCTTGTATCCTTTTTCTTGCAAGTTAGTTAAGTAATGTACCCTTAGTGGCCGTGTTGGACAGGAGGGGCCAGAGAAGTGCTTCTGGTTGTTTGAAGAATGTGAGTCTGACATCATAGGTTACCATTTTATGAAGAAACCATCAAGGTGAGTTTGGCACTTATGTTTTATTATTATTGATGCTCATGTGTGGTCAGGGAACTTTCCAGTGACAAGATATATGCTAGTAATTTCAGCCAAATTTGCAATATCATGTTTGCTGTTGTGCTTTATTTGCAATATTTCATTTTTTGTGACAATGATTCCAGCCAGCTTAAATTTTGCTGGTAAAGCCAACTTCTATCTTGGGCGTATGTGTAATATAGTAGTAATAACACTCGGCATTAACAAGAAGCAAGCCTGCTAAAACATGAAACCATGTAATCCAAGTGTTCTTCAGTTTTCTTATTATAAATAACCAGTTGTATACCTAAATCAGATATAGTACTAAAACATAACCCATTCGCATCATTATCAGAACAGGGAAATCTGCTGGGATCATTGACAGAAGTGATGAAATATTGCAAATTCCAGCGATCATAAATTTGCACTTCTTCATTTCGGGACAATTGATATGACAATGCTCTTTTAGATAACACAAATAAACGACTCCGGCATACAGAGTTGGAGGTCAAATCGACACAATTCTTCTTTCATGCTTATTATGTGTGGCGTTCTGATAAAAACCTGCAAACAAAATAAGAGAAAATTGTTAGGCTCGGAAATAGTTATATAGATACAATAATAGAATAGTGCACCTGCCTCATCTATCCAAAACATCTCTATAGACAATGTTCTTGGTAATTTTCCCGGATTTATCGACCTCCTGGTTTGGCTTGGCCAAAATCCGTGTTGTCTCTCTCGACACTCCCCTTGACAATGCAACATCGAGCTAGCCATGTGAGAATACTGGCTTGGGAAGGTAAATACCGACGTGCATAATACGGTGTCTTTTAAGAATATCCTCTGCCTCTTCAATTCTTTAGGTCTGTTTAAATAAGTACTACAAGTTAGCAGACAAGCAACAGCAAAAACAGTAGCAGAAAGTAGGATCTGGTCGATGATAGTCACCCAATGATTGGTTGTTTCTTATATCCTCAAATGGGGTGCTTGGGCCTGTATAAACACATAGCGTGAGTCAGCACACAAGCAACAGCAGAAACAGTAGAAGAAAGTAGGAAGTGGTTGTTGATACTTACCCAATGGTTGGTCATTGCTTATATCTTGAAATGGGGTGCACGGCCCCGCACGATTTGGAGACGACGTACCGTCGCCTTCATGTGAACATTCATGTCATTAAATTATTAGAAGCATGTACTCCGTATATTGTAAGGAGATAAGCAGTTTTGTGTCGTCTGTGTAAGGGGATAAGCAGTTTTGTTTCGTGTGTGTAAGAAGATAAGCAGTATGTTCCACATAGAAATCGGTAATTAGAGATGTAAAATTAATCATTGTGCTGTAGACTGGCGTGATGTATCATTCCTGTGCCCTTGGTATGGTAGCCCGTGTTTGCAATTGCACGGCATCTGCATGTCTTACTTTTACGATGTTACCTTTTCTGTACGCCTAATGTTTGATTTTTTGTTCTGAAAACTGTAATGTTGAGTGCAGGGAAGAATTACACCTGGTCCGGGGTCCGTGCAGGGCGGGGGCGGCCGCACGGGTGTTGGGCGGGTTCGTGGGCACCGGCGATCTGGCGGACTTCTGGCACACTGCGAGGGGGCAGGGCAGCCTCCTGGGCGCCCGCTACGTCGATGGTGCATGGAGGCGGCTGCATGGTGGAGTGGCGCGAGGTCGCCGTCTGGAGAAGACGGTGTTGGCGCGATGGCGACGGAAGGCAGAGAGGGCCCTGCGCGATTGGGCTAGGAGAATCAATAGTTGGAGGGAAGGCTTCCCTAGTCTTCTAGTGAAGCACGATCAGTCAATGGAAATTGCTAGATTCATGGGACTAACCCTGCGGTGGTGAATGGAGCGGCTGGTGTGCTGGGGGTAATTGTGGGGTACACTTAAGAAAGATCGTGTTGGATTGTTTAATAGCAGTGGAGAAGTGGAGATGGAGATGGATCAGTGAGCCATACGCCTCACTGACACGGCCTAAATGATCCATCTGATGGCGTGAGGGGTGCCTAACCGCAAGCGTTGTATCTCGCATTAAGCAAGGCAGAAGGAACCCTCACGTCGAATGCTACAGCAACGGGAGGGAGCGCACGAGGGTTTCGACCTAGGATTCGAACCTGCGTCCCCTCGATGGGGTAGTAGCGAAGCTAACCACTGGGTAAGCACCGTGTTCGTGTTGAATACTAGGGCACAACCTACTTATAAGAAAAACAGACGGGTTTTCATTATTTTTCCGGGCTTTTTGTTGTTTGTTTTCCTTTGTTTTTCATCGGGTTTTCTTCGTTTCTTTCTCCATTTTACCTTTTTTATTTTTCTCCATTTTCTTCTGTTTTCATCTTTTTTTTTCTTTTTAGTTTTCTTTTGTATCTTTTCTTTTTCTCTCCGTGTTTCATTATTTTTGCATTTGTTTCTTTGTTTTTATTTTTTTTATTTTTCTTTGGTTTATTCTTGTTTCTTTTTTGGTTTTTTTGTATATGTCACTAATATTTTTCTAATACACGTTTAGTATTTTTACAAAAAAATTTAACAATTTTTTTAATACTCCCTCCACTTCTTTTTAGTCTGCATATACGATTTGGTCAAAGTCAGACTTTGTAGAAAAAAATATTAACATCTACAATACTAAAGCTATATGGTATGAAAATAAATTCCATGATGCATCTAATAATATTAATTTCATATTGTGAATCTCGATATTTTTTTCCTATAAACTTAGTCAAAGTTTACTTTACCCAAATCTTATATGCAGACTAAAAAGAAACTGAGGGAGTATATGGTCAACATTTTTTATATACACATTTTAACAATTTTAAATGCTTGATAACATTTTTCATATACAATATCAACACTTTTTCAATACATGGTCAACATTTTTTCTATAGATTTTAAATTGCTTGATTAATAGTTTTCAGATAAAAAGATTACCTTTTTTAATGCATGGTAAAAAAATTTCTATACACATTTAAAACTATCCAAACACTTGATTAACATTATTCAAACACTTGTTCAACATTTTCTTAAATGCTTGATTAACACTTTTTATATATATGATCAAAACAATTCATCGCTTTTCAATACATGGTCAAAAAAAAATTTATACACATTTAACATTGTTAAAATGATTTATTAAAAAATTTCAAATATTTATTCAATATTTTTTTTCAAATGCTCTATTAGCATTTTTATATACATGATCATATTTTTTGATCATTTTTGAATACATTGCCAACATTTTCCTATACACATTTTAACATTTCCCACATGATTGATTAACATATTTCAAATACTTGTTTAAGGTTTTTTTTAAATGTTTGATTAACATTTTTATATAGATGATCAAGAATTTATGTCATTTTTTTAATACATGATCAACGATTTATATATACACATTCTACATTTTTCAGATAATTGTTCAACATTTTTGAAAAGTTTTTTGTGCAGAGTTCTTTTTAAAGTGTATAAACAAAATTACAAAAAAAAAGCAAAAAATGAAAACAGAAAACAGAAAAAGAGGCTGTGCCTGCCCCGCGAGGTAGACGACCGTCCTCTCTCGAACCCTCCCGCGCCCGTCGGATACTTCGTGGGGATCGCGTGGCGGAGACGAGCACCACACGTACGCGCCCAACGGACAGAACCGTCACGGCACGGGATTCCTAATCCTTCTCCACCCAGCATAAATAAATACTGCCCCCCTCCCTCCAATCCTCACCGCAGCTCCCAGGAACGGAACCAACGAATCCCCAGCCAATCTCGTCTCCGATCGACCCCAGGCTCGTCGAATCCTCCTCCCCCGCCGCCTCAAGGTACGGCGTTTGCTTCCCCTCTCCCCGTATCGTCTAGATCCGCGTTGATTAGATGGTTGGAGGTGAAGTATTGTGGAAATTTCGTCGGTTTTTGCTCCGATCTGATGCTGCGCGAACGATTCTTGTTGTCCGATCTATTCGCGCGTGTTAGGTCTGCGAAGCTCTGGCGAATTCTTAGGGATTTTTGCGTGTAGATTGATAGATTGAAGGGGCAGATCTGTTCGTGCTCTCGGTCAATTAATTCCTTATTAAGCCGTGTAGGCTCGTATGCATGATTTGTCTACTAGTTCGTCTGCTCCTGCGTGAAAGATTCGCATAACTCTTTATGATTGAATTAAGTGGTAGCCGCATAATCTGCCTGATCTGTAGCTCGTTATCATATTTCTTGTTCTAACGAGATAGTCCTAACCTAGGTCTAGGATTGTTAATTGATTTTCCTCTGAAAAAGCTAGGCTTCTTCCTTTGCTTGATATATGACAGCTATGTGGAATCCTTGACATAATTGATCTGCACGCACGTACCGTCTGTTAGGTGCTCTTCAATGAAGAAAATATACTGCTGTCGTTTGTTTATTATCTACCGTCTGTAGTTTGATTTTTCTTGGAAAAAGATGAGCTAAATAATGTCTGACAGCTACGTGGAATCATAATTTTCGTTTTTTTGTGGTCATGAGCATGCACCTACCGTATGTTAGTTTCTCTTAAGTGAAAAAAAATGTTTCTCCTGTTTGTTTAATCTCTACGGCATGATATAGAAGCTTATCTATGTTTTAGTAATTGTCATATTAGTTTGCTTGGTCTGCTTCTTGACCCTAACCATTCTGTTTTGGGATTCTTCTCTGCAGATGCAGATCTTTGTGAAGACCCTCACCGGCAAGACCATCACCCTCGAGGTTGAGAGCTCCGACACCATCGACAACGTCAAGGCCAAGATCCAGGACAAGGAGGGCATTCCCCCGGACCAGCAGCGCCTTATCTTTGCTGGCAAGCAGCTGGAGGATGGCCGCACCCTTGCTGACTACAACATCCAGAAGGAGTCCACCCTCCACCTTGTCCTGCGGCTGCGTGGTGGCATGCAGATCTTCG